GGTGCTGAGCCAGAGGCCGCGGGACCCAGCTCTCCGCGCACAGCCGCAGCATACATAGGCTCCGGGGATGGCCCTTTGAGCAACGCCGCCTCAGTGTCGCCATCGTAGACAGACGCAGGCCCCACGTAGTCACTGAGGTATCCTGCAGGCGGAGGCGGACAGACAGACAGCGGGAGGGGAACAGAGCATCGGGCAAGACACACGCAAAGCGGGCCGCGGGAGACGGAGAAGACACGGCGGGAGACGTTGGGGTTCGGAAGGAAGGCGATCAGGGATCAGGACAAAGGAGAATGGGTCGGGGACCACGGGGCAGAGAGGATGGAGACCGTGGGGAGGGGAAGAGGGAAGAGAAGAGAGACAGCAGAGGATGAGACAGGGCCAGGAAGGGCTCCTCCCCCGCCGCCCAAGCGCCCCGCCCCCGCGCGGGGAGGAGAGAAAGATGCATCTTCGGGCGCGGCTGCCCCCCTTCAGCGAGCCTCAAGGTCAGGGGGGAGGGGCGGCGCTCCTCTCTTCCTCCTCCCCCTTCCCCTCCCCCTCGGGTTCTCCCCACTTCAGCAGTTTTCCTTGATTATGCAACACACTGCAGACCCGCCGTGCACAAAGCCAGGGCCTCCAGCCCAGAGACCCCAGCGGTCCTGCCTCTTCGGGGTCCCTGGGGTTTTCTTCAGGCTCCAAAACCTGCTTCCAGACTTGATGCTGTCCCTCTGGTTCCCTAGGTGTGCCAACAAAATCCTAGCGACTTCTACCTAGCCAGCATCTATCTCTGGCCATCACCAGTACTTCCCCCTCGTCACCCGTCTCTCCGACCACTTACTGGACTTGAGCCCTACCCTTGCAGCTTGAACTCATTTACCTCTACCCACTACTTTCCATTATCCTGGGTCCTACTTTGGTCCACATTCTCTTTTTCTCCGCGGGCCCTAACCCTTCTAGGGACCTTCTTGAGCCCCCAACAGGGGACTAGGAAGACTGCCAGAGCATCCGCTAGGGGACATGTTAATAGAGACAAGCTGCAGGTGGACATCGTTCATGCCAGTAACTGCCGTTGTTCCCAAAGTACAAGATGGATCTCACGATCTCAGAATTATAAATGCATACCCTTCACAATGCAGGCTCTAGTTCTTTCAGGGTTACACTTAGGCTCTCAGAAATCATCGGGCCTGGTGTCATCTCACAGGGTATGCTGCCCACTTACCCTAGCGTTGGAACTCACCTCCCACAAATGCAGGGTCACATATGCAGCCATCCAGACACACTCTCAGTCACATGGTGCACATCGGCCTCAGTGTCACGTGGTCTCATGTAGTGGCACACAGGCAGGCACACACACAGGGTCACACACAAGCGCACAAAGTCACATGGCCACACGCAGTCACATGGGCCCACACAGGCTTATGCTCTTGCAGGTCACACTTGCTCTGCCATCGCACACTGCTGGCACTCCTGTCCCCGTTGCCTGCATGCTAACAGTTGTCCTTGAACTTGGGCTTCCTTACACAAAGAGCCTCTCCTGACTCCAATACCTTGGCTTCCCTTGCTCACCTCTTCCTCCCTAATCCTGAGTCCAGGGAAGATACTGCTGTTGCCTCTACTGGTACCTAGGCCCTGACAGGTGGGTGGCCCTGCCAGACCCCATACCAACTCCCTAGAGCTCCCAGCATTCCCTAGTTAGCCCTAGCAAGGGGCTTTGAAGATGCAGCCAAAGAAAAGTGAAACAGATCCAGATTTCTGGGTGTGGGTTTGCATGTGCCCATATAACTGGGTCTTGTTGTGTCAGCAGGTGTCTATGCAGCTGTGTATGTTTCAGCGCAAGTGTGTGGGTCAGTGTGTGCCTTTAGTGCTTCCTGTTCCTGATCCCTCTTTCCTGCCTCTCTAGTACCCACACTCTGACCACCTTGGAAGATGTCTGGCCTTACCCTGCTCCCCTTTCCCCAGCCTTCATTCTCGGCTCCAGGTTCCAGCTTCAGGCTGCTTCCGCTGGATTTACATCCCCTCCTACCCTGCCACTCCACCCCCACACTCTGGCCACCCACCCCTTCCAGCAAAGCCCTGGGCCCTGCCCCAGCTGCAGTCTAGAGCGCACCTTTATCCTGCAGTCGCACTCCGAGATCGCTGCGGGCGCGCCCGTAGGAGCTGTCGAGGTCTGCCGAAGAGAATGTGTCAAGTTTGACCTTCTTAACCAGGAAGGACCTGGGCATGATTCCTGCGGGGCTCCGGCAGTGAGGACCTGCAGAGCCGGTGCTCGGGGGGACTGCGTCCGCGGCGAGGCCCCGTCACCATCCGAGGAGCGGTGGAAGCAGCACTGTCCCCAGTCTGGCCTGTGGATGCTGCTGGGCGAGTGTGATCCTCTCTTATTTCTGCCCTGCGTCTCCTCTTCTTCCCCTCCAGATCTCTCCTCTTTCTGTCTCTCTCTTTCTCCTTCCTTCCTTCCTTGCTTCCTTCCTTCCTTCCTCCTCTTCTCTTCTTTTCTCTTCTTTCCTTCCTTCCTTCCCTCCTCTGGTCCC